ACTTAAGAGGCGAAAACGATGGTATTTCCAATCCATTTCCATATATCACCTCTTGAACATTGTCCGGTTGTTTTGTCAGTGTCGCCAGATGTCGTTCAGTGGTAAAGATACAAAGGAAGACAATTCTCATTGTGATGTTTTAGATGGTCCCCGCAAATTCCTACTATAAACTGAATTTCACACGCAATATATATAACCTACTCATTCGGTAAGCATTGTGAGAGTTCAAGAATCTTGGTGCTCTGCCATTTTGCTTATATACTGTACGGGGTTGCAAAACAATTTCGTCAAACTGTCATGGGGATAAGTCCGCATAACAACTCCTTAGCATCCATCTTTTAGTTGTAATTGCTTCATATCCGTAAAGAGTTATATCAGCTACTTTTGCCATCACGTCATCAGCTGGTCATTTCTGGGTCCATTACAAGTCTTCATAGCTAAAGTTGTAGTAACGGGAATCTAGCCTACCTCTTGTCTTCGTGGCACGTGATTCTTGGAGTTTCGATGTTCACTAAGACGTGTGTGCAGACTACCTCCATTTGGCTTCCTCATTTAATTCAAGAAGAAGGTTGCAGGCTGAACAGCGAAGACTTTCTAGCAGTTTTTGTATTGCTATTTCATATCCAGTTTTCTTACGAGACGAATTACCTGCTTTCAGGACACTGAAGATTGATATGAGTTAAAAAGTTTGTCGTAAAACTTTTATGACACTGATCTTCCGTCATTTCACATCTGTGACCATGAGAACAGCGCGTTTTTCTACCAATCATAGCCATCGGTGGTCTTGTGACTGGTCGAAAGAAAACAGAAACGAGCATCTCGTCAGCAAATTATAGGACCTGGAAATGCAAGAGCGATTTATGGGCAATTACAGGAGTTGGTTCTCCATAAATCCAACCTCACGCCCACACCGGGAGACGGCTGGTAATGGTCAAAGTATGGGGAATGTCCCAAGGCAAAATACGGCTCAGTCTATTGTCCTTAGCTGATGTATGGTTATAAACCCCGAAACGGTCCGGTGGATGATGTCATAATAGGCGGGGCTTAGAGATATCCTCGTCTTTTTGAGGTAATTTTGTCCTCTGAACCGCCGGTGAAATTGCAACTGTGCTTCAGTTCATTCATCATGGAAGGCTCTGAACAGGCTAAACATCATAGGTTAGGGCGAAAGGTATATGTACATCTTGTAAGTGTACACAGCAGCCACCAGAATTTTCTTCCAAGATAAAGGTATCAGGCTGAGCTGAAGTCCTTTAAAAACAAACAACAATTGATCAAGGAAGCAAAACTCAAAGAAGCTTTTTCTCTTAAATACCAGCCGAGGACTGGAAGTCGATTCCTTAGTTATTGCCTCTGTAGGCACAGTGAGTCCAGAATACTGTTTCCCTCTGTGATAAGGATTTGACCGAAAGTGGGAATGAACATTTAAACCTCAAGAAAGTACCCACAAGATTGCTATAGACCTTTCAACGGCAGGAAACGACCAACGATATGAGCCGCATAGCAAGGCGCGACGTGAACGGTATTAGGTTCCAACCGGTGGTCTGTTGCAAACAGCATAACGACAGGCTTAGAGACCTCTCGCGTCTTGAAAATGCTTCTATTTACCGCATGTTACACAAAGTTCCAATTACACAGACCTGTAACAAATCAAGGATATTAACCTGTCGTAACTTCAGCCGGGTGATTGTCACTCTTCCGTTGACAGACTGCCATTCAGTCATTCGGTTAGCCTGGTTGGGTTCTGATGAAACCAACATGAGTGTCTGTTGTGAATTTGACAGCTGAGTAGAATAGCTTCCATCTGCAGATGTTCAGAATTCAAGAACCTTGGCGCTTCTTCGAGAAAAGTCCAAATACGCCCTGTTTGTACCTCGCAGCCTCATCAACTAGATCCTGCTGTTTTCCTTTGAGTGAGGAGATGCTCCAATTTCTAACCGTGAGCTCACAACGAGAGCATCGTTCCCATAGAGCGTTGTCTGAATTGCTATGACAGCATCGCGATGAGTAGCGCCTCGGCTGCTAAGTGCACACTCTTTCAAAACGTTTAGTCATCGCTGTAGTCCGCAAAATTGTGTGGGACGGGTCTACCCAAATTCCGTGGAGCCGAGATCTGCTTGTCTACCCACCCCACCGGGAGAACTACTAGCAAGTGGTAGTGCAATACGTTTGAAATCCGGAGTTGGATGAGTTATGCGCCTATCAGCAGACTTCATGTGACAGACCTACATTTTGAGCATATATATTTCAATACTTATCTTTATCCGCGGAATGCCATTTTTCAGTAAATGCCAAGTTTATAAATCTCCTCACTGAAAGGATAGATTCATAATTGTTATTTTGTCGTTATGCTTTGGAAAGTTACTGCAATATCCAATAAAGTTATATATGCTAGAAACTAGGAAAAGAAATAACAGAAATTATTTGAGAAAGCACACAACTAAAACAAGAACAAATTTCACCGCGTATTACATCTTCCAGTTGCCCATGATGACCAATTAAAAAGGCTGCGGTTCCATGGTATTTGGTCATTTGCACTGTCAGATTCATCTCTAATCATTTTGCTTGCTACAGGTCACCTGACACTCATCACAAACCACGTTTCAGGAACTTTTGCTCCTCAAATGCTACCGCATAAACGCAAAGATATTTCTATGCTAATGCGATGGCTTATTTGACAGCTCATAGCTGAGAGCTTTCAACGTGGTCTCACTTTGGTTGGTTTTGCTTCGTTTGTTTTGTTATTCATCATCAAGCTCGTTTCGTTGCCTCATTTCTCTGAAAATGAGTATGATATTATTCGTTATGATTTACTTTTCATTTGCCGTCCAGTAGGGTACCTCGCAACGATCGATCTGACTCGTTTCTCGAGGTTTCTCAAGCCGTCGTGGAAAACAGGCAGATTTCGGCATTCTCATTCTCTAGAGCCTTCATAGACAGATAATTAAATGACATTATATTCGTTATTAGTCCTTGTCGAAGTGTCGCAATGCACGCTGTCCCCGGTGCAGCCAACTCCTTGCTTGGTCGGCCATGCGATGACGCAGGTAGGCGGAGTCCGCCAGGTGGCGCTGCGAAAGTGAAACGGTTGGGTAGTGCCGAAGTCACGGGAAGTCAATTACAAGATCGACGGTTAATTGTAACGTTGTACAGCTGTCCTTAGCTGATGACGGTGTCTAGCAGGCAGTGTAAGCGGATTATGGGGCGTCGGATGTTGTGCCGTGGCTAAATGGCGACCTGGACCGGTGGATGTTCATCTGGCAAATGGCAAAGTGCCGGAGGAACGACGACTGGACGATGCCGTGGTTGTTCACCAACTCTACCTTCCTTTTCCTCGTCGTCGCCTCACTTTCGACCAAGGTAATCACTTTCGACGCGAACGTGCACCAGATGTCCATTGTGGGTCCGCCGGATGCTGACCACCGGTCGAACGCGAAACTCACTTCCTCGAAGACTCGCTGCCTTCCCCCTGCGGTGGCCACCGGTTTCTCCGTTCCCACCAATCGTTCGGCCAAACTGGTTCGCCCCGTGAAACGACTACCCACTGCGATTATCATCGGAGTGAAGAAAGCGGGAACCCGAGCGCTTTTGGAGTACCTCCGTTTGCATCACAGTGTCAGAGCCCCGGGACCGGAAATTCATTTTTTCGACCGCTACTACTTCCTCGGTCTCAACTGGTACAGGTGAGTGGGAGCGTTTTGTTTTTTCATTTAGAAAAAAACGATGTTTCCTACATGGCTGCGGAAAAAATGGCATTAGCGGTCATTTCTTTTCAAATTCATAAATCGTGTCACGTGCCGTTGTCTATTGCTATGAAATTTAACGCATTAACTATGCGATATCTGGATTGTTTTCGGTGTCACCTTAGGCCAAAAGGAACCAAAACAACAGGAAGTTCAGACTTGTGACACATGACCGTTAGAAACGGTATTTAAGATTTTTATTAAATAACTCTTAGTTCCGGCAAAAGTAATGTTTCTCGCACTAAGAGATTTGTCTCAGTCACATATTTTCAAGCTGTCTTCAATAGATATTATAGCGATTCTCAGTCGCGAAAAGCTGCGATCACATATCTTTTCTTTTTTGCACCATTTTGATTAAGTTTTAAATTAAACCAATTAAGGCACTGGGTCTTCTGGCGATTTTCTCAGATCGCTAGCTTGACTGACAGACATCAATGATATCCTCTTTATTCAGAATGTTACCGCATTCAAGTGTAATGGTCATTATCTCGTTTGTCGCCACTTAACTATTCTCATATAAGAAAGTTCGTCAACAGATCTGAGTTCAATTTCAGAGCCGTTTCGTTAAGCCAGGTCCAGCGTCGATCGTTCTGTTCTTCTATCACTTTCATCGACTCGTAGCTGTCAGACCTGATGCTGATTGTTTTCGACAATGTTCCATAACAATAGTTTCAGAATACTTACCATATAACGTTGTTTGAAACTTTGTAATCAATCTCGTTTGCAATCAAGATGAGACCTTTGCCACTGAAACTTTGCTATGTTCTTGAAGTTGCGAACTTTTTAGGGTTCTGTTTGGTTGATGGTGCCTTTCTTATAGACACCAAGAAAAAAGTTACATGTATGCAAAAATGGAGTGAATGGCGGTGTCTTTGAGAGGACGTGTGCAACAGTTCATTAAGATAGGTTCATTATAATTTCTGTTTGGTAATACAGATTCTTAATTTCTCGCATATGAGCTTTCTCATGATTTCATACATCTGTTATGTGCTAGCACAGGTTTGAAGCAGAGCCATCTAATGGCATCTTCTGGAAAACATGGAAGGAAACATTGTAGTCTTTTGAAGGTCGGTCTTCCTTACACTTTCATGATAGAGCCATTCCAGCACGTTTCTTTTCATGAAGTTAATAATGCAGCTCTGCTGTTCATTTCTATGTCATCGGCCAGGAGTGCCAGAATGTTAAGGGTAGAGTTGACAACAGCGGCTTTGTCTCCTATTTCCTTCCCACAGAATGATACGCATTTATCAGTCTCGGAAGGAAGAAAGCGTCGGACCTCGACCGAGGCTCAAAGCCGGGACCTCTAAACTGTAATTCTGACGCTATGCCGACTGCTGAACCCAGGTCTGAAACCACATATGGTAAATTCTTGCTGAAGGAAAATCTTGATTAAGACAAATACTGATTTCTTCCGGAATCGAATCGTGTTCTTCCAGAGTTCCAGGCCGGCTTCGCTGGTACTCTATCCCCATGCCATGAAAACTATGTAAACATGATTGAAGGACAGAAAATCCTCGTCTACAGTTGTTCTTCCAACGTCATCTGAATATTTGTTTTCGAGAAGATGGCAAATTAAAGATGGCAAACAAAATGCTGTTAATCCATTCATGCACTTCACTATTTACATGACAAGGCATTTGACTACCTTTAATCAGCATTATCGACTGTTGTTGGCTGTTCAATCACGGTGCTCGAGCTTCTAGATGGTATTCCGCTTGCCTAGCTTCAATGTCCAAAAATCAATGATCAATCGAGGAAGAATAAATTTGAACAACAGCGTCTGTCGCAGGTATAGAAGAGAAGTTGAAGGAATGGTATCTTAGCTTTCCTTGTATCAGGAGACCTCGCCGCAAGTCATAGAAGAGTAAGACTACAAATCATGACTGTAAGTCTGAGATAGACAATTATTAGGTGGTAGCTTGCGGTGTTGTATACCAGGTATTTAAGTACTTTCATTAAGTACTGCAGAATGAACAAATAATGAATAAACGCAATCACGTGCATTTTAAATTCTTTTCGTTTTACGTCTATGAAATCCTGGATTCTCATCCACCCTTTCTTCCTAGATTAGAGATGCTACCTTAAAAGTATAGTATTGATATCTCTTCTCCTACTTTCAACAAAATATGAGTTCGCATGTCACAGTTTGATAATTGATTCGTGACTCGTCCAAGCAGAGATTTCACGCCGTATCGCACCTCCTCCTTGATTCCTAGTTGGCTAAAGGGTCAAGGTTCGTGACGAGCCTGAAACCTGCTTTTGGAAGAGTTATTCTCTCATTTTTAGCGGAACGAGGGGACTTGACTGGAAATTCAAGCAAGTGGCTTTACGACGGTAGGAGATCGTATGATGATCTTTAAAAAAAGGACATCAACATTAATTTATTAAATTACGTTGTGAAGCAGTTTGGTCGAGGAATTTTGGCTACCAAGCAAGGAAATTTAATTTCGATACATATGACTGATGAGTCATTTAACACGTTTCAGTTTCTGGGACCATAATGGTTTCCTTTATGGAATTTCAGATCCAATTTCATCTGGTACCATAACTTTTAGTAAAGTCGTTACTGTACACCGGAAGGGAACGGAGAGCTTGAATCTGAAACAAATTGTTCATTGCCATCGGCCCGGAAATTAGTTTCAACAGTGAGAGATTAAAACCTCTGCTCATTTGTTTGAAAAGTTGTGTGAGCGGAATTTTCATTGTCAGCATCTAGATGTTATGCAGGACTCGCCCTTTCTCTTTCATTCGTTGAAGTAAGGCTTATTGTACGGTCATTTTTCATTTACAGCTTTCTGTAATGATTAGAAGGTACTTAACGGGTGAACGAGCGGGCGGGCTACTTCCAGAAAATGTAGAAAAGTGGCAAAATTGGATTTATAGCTGACCGGTTTAATTCGGGTAATTAACCGCGTTTATAACTGCTTTGTTTGGTCTTTGATTGTATGGATAATTTTTTGGACTCGTAACCGCTCAGGTATCTGTGCTTCTTTCCACGGTCTATTAGCATATTTCCTTCGGGTTGGCGAAGGAGGACGTCTGTGAGTAAACGGAATCGGTTTTCTTGCCCACCGAATGTAGTTTGGCTATTGGCTGACTTGAGCAGTTGTGACTGTTTCCTGTCACATTAACTTTTTATCTCAGAGACTTTTTTCGAGCTCTTTTGCATCAGTTCGAACTGTCGACAACAGTGGCGTGAGTAAAATGAGGCTACTTGTTTTCTTTCGCTACGCTGCACGCGTTCAGCTGTGATGCACACGTAATTCATGTGTGCTCGAACTCGGCCGAATCTTTCCGAAGGGGGACGCGTCAGCAAGGCGAACGGTGACAAATGATGTGCAATTTTCCGAGGCAGTCGTTTTTTGGCTCGATTAACTGAGGAAGCAAATGATCGTTTACCTCCGCAGACGACAGACGATGACGAACGACTATCGAACGAAGTGAAGCGATCGGTCGTGCGTGATCGTTGGCCACTATTGCGGTTCGCTGTGATCCGTGCGCAGCTAATTAATGGCCGATCGATTGCAAACGGTTTTCATCTAAATTAGAAGCAGCTTTTCTTCTCCGAAGTTTGATTGTTACTGTTTTTATTTGCCCCCCCCCCACTCCCCCAGTCTAACCTCAACTAACGAAATCTCTGACCTCTTTGAGTGTGTTTTTGCCTAG